GACAACTCAGTGAGACTCTCTGCTAACTTCAAAAAATATAAACTATCGATTCAAAATTCAAAATTTTTTTTTCAATTTAACCTTATAGGATGGTTCTTATGAGAGCAATGTCAAATTCAATCACACTTTGTTAAATACATTTTGGTACCAACTTTAGCAATTGTTCCAAATAACATAAAGTGTATTAAAATATTAAAGATTAATGTTATTAACCGACTTCCAAAAAAGGAGGTGGTTATCAGTTCGTCGGAATATATATATATATATATTATATATTCGAAAAGCATGCTCTAAGTAGCCTTTTTGACAGATTTTCCTTTGAATGTATTCCAAATTTCAGAAAAAGACGTGAAACAATTTTGGGCAAACTTGTGTCGTACTTGGTAGAAAATTGGCTTTAAAACTGAACCCTGAACAATCTGCAAATGATTGTTCCACTAATTGCTAGAATAGAAGACAGCAGCACAGAATTTAGGCCTGAACACCTTGATTTAAAAAGTTTTGTCAACCTAAATATTTGTGAGTTTTGAGGAAAAAGTAAAAATCACCAAAAAATATTTTAAATGAGCCCCTGTTTTCAAACACATATGTACAACATGGCTCAAGGTGTGTTATCGATTGCACATTCTCAAGCCAATGTTGAAAGGATATTCTCCATTCAAAAATTTATAAAAACAAAATTTCGAAATAGACTTCAACTACTCTCTAACTCTTTAATAACAACTAGAGATTGCTTTAATTTTAGTGGACAATTCTGTCTCAAAATAGCATTGATAAAAAGTTCAGACACAATTCAAACTACGAGTTATTATTTGCTGAATTATTTATTTTTTTGAACTTACTGGCAACTTTGAAAATTTAAAAACATCTATGTATTCATTGTAAATCTTTATGTTTATATACATTTATGTACTTACATACATGCATTTAAAATCATAATATCTGATATAAAATGTGTAAAGTTTTATATAATAAATGAAATTATGTTAATTTTGTGTCTAAATTTTTAGCAATTATCTGTACTTTATTAGCAGCAATAATTAAATACAAGTTGTACACAATATATATCAGTAAATATATGGCAATGTTTATTTCTAAATGTCAAATGACTTTGTGTTTTAATCAAAATCATATTTTGGAACATAATATAAACATTTTATGATCTCATCTGAATATGAGAATTTTCAAATATCAAACGATCGTTTTAAAAAGCGGTTTGGATATGTTCATATTAAAAACTAAAGTATAAATTTTAGAATATGAATTGATGATGTTTTTTTCTCAAAACTACAATAAATATTATAGGTGTAAAACCTGGGTCAAAACTTTTTTAAAAATAAAACGTTCCATACAAATATGAAAACGTAAATTTCTCTGTGTATGAGAACAACCATTTTTTTTTTGCTTATATCAACTTAGGGCATCATTTAGTATTACTTTTCCCGTTTAAAATTCATTTTCGTTTGTTGCGATACGATTTTTCTTTCTCGAGATATACCAGTTTTAACGTGTAGTGCTTCGGTGCTAGCTTTGAAGAATCATGCTTACGAAGGATTTCAAGGTTAGATTTGTACTCAGCAACAAAAAATCTACAAGAAGCGATGTGTTTCACTTAGGTGGGAAAATTTTGTTGAAATGTGTAATCGTTACGTTTTATTAGATAATTTAATTGCTATGGTTATGTTTATGGCTTTAGTATGGCACCACTAATTCAGCTTTTAGACCGTACCAACGTACGCAGTGCACTCCTGAATCAAAAGTACTTAAAAAAAAAAAATGTTGGCCGACATTTTGTTTGTTGTTTACCTCGCTTTCATTATCTCGGGTAGTAACTATGTAATATTGATGCGCCTAAAAGATGCAGCGGTTTCCATTCTCATGTTACATACCTGATGACAGTACGAATGGGAGTCGCTTTGAACTTCCATTCTTAAAGTAACCTGATGACGGTACGAATGGGAATTTTAACAGCGAGGTTTTAGTTTTTTAAACTAAAATGTTTGTTCTACTGCTTAATGATTTTTCGTGAGCTTTAATTTACTGACATAACGGTCGTACGTTGCGGTGATAATAACTGAGATCTAATAGATAAGTACTTGGGGAGTAATTGAAGTCAATAAATTCTGGAACCACACCCAATTTTCTCTTTCAGTCAGGAACTTCGATATAACGTACTTAAGGTTCCGAAAAAAAAAAATTTAAAAAGGCGACACCTACACATTCGGTCAAAATAATTTTTTGTTTCGAAATTGACTTGCAAAGATACTTTAGATTCGATAGGGAATTTTTTCTTTCTTCTTATCCTCTTGTGCATAATTTTGCTTTCAAATATAAGTAGGGACACGTAGGGATATCGAACCGAAAGTATCGATATGGTACTCATTTAAAGTATCGCTGGAAAAATATCGGGTACCCATTAATATCGGAATAAAAAGACTCGATATCGCAAATATCGGTACCAAAATCCAAAAAAAAA